AGCTATGCCTGAGACAGGTACACATTTTTCAAACATTACTTTGTCTTCAATTCTTATCTAACCCTGATACTGAGATATCATTTCGGTTTTATAGCATGTGGTCCATCGACAAGTGTCATGGTCCAACAGACCACTACTCCAGCCATTGTGGTCAATCCTTTTACAGCCTCACCGTCGACGCCCACTCTAATGCTCGTAGCCTCGACTTCCACGATTAATTCTGCCAAGGCCTTATCGTCGATGCCTGTCTCATCAACTCCTTTACCTGACCATCAGTCGGCCACTTCATATGTCGCATATCTAGGCAAGGCAATGCACACCATAGATGAAACTGAATTTATTTTGGTGTTTAATCCATACGACTTGTTGCCTCACTCTAGCCAATCAAAACTGGCTATAATCAAGAAGAAGATGGAGCTGACGTGCTTTTTGGACTTCTCTATAGGAGGACTCGCGAGGATGTCGTATGATGCTATAGCCTTGGAGCAATTCAAACTCCTCATCGATCGCCTTGGAAATAAAAATGTTGAAGTTGGGTTTATTCTTTCTCCAGCACTCAGGGAGCGACTCAAGACTTTCTCCTAGGAATTCCAGACTATGTTCAATAAATACCAACAACTCCTAGGCCAAGTACAAGAGACGGCCATTCCTGTAGAAATACATAAAGAGCCAACTGACATTGTGAAGGATGCTAGTGAGGAGGTAAACATCCGTCACGAGTCTCTTCGGGTTATTACAGACGAAATAGGTGTCCTTGTTGAAAAAGAAAGACGTCTTGCTACAGCCCTTGAAGAGACTCGTCGACGGCGGGAGATGAAGCTCCGTCAACAGGCAGAGGTCGAACAAGAATTGCGCTATCACGTTGGCGTTTTGAAGGGCTTGAAACAAAAGGAGCATATGCGAGTGTTGAACCTTGCAATGGAACAATGTCAAAGTAAAAACGCATATATCTCAAAGATGAGTAGATTAGAATCTCAATTACTCTTGCTCCAACGAGGGGTTCATGATTTTTTGTTCGGCAGACCTCCTTCTCCTCAATAAAATACTTTTTATTTTCCTTGGATGTCCACGTATGCTACGATTACTCATAACCAACTTTGATAATGGATCCCGAGCCTTGCGCCTTCGTTCATGTGCATGTTGCTAGTTAGTGGGCCTAACTCATCGACTAAATAGACTAGTATAAATACCTGGTAACCGTAGTCGAGCTTCATCATTCGACCCATCACAATGGCTAACTTTTCTTTTTCGCCAATCAATACTCAAGCTATCTTTCACCTGAATTGTTTTGAGAACCTTCGGAGTTTTGAACGACAAGGGCGCCTCTCTCTATCCTTTATGGATTATGATGTGGAAGCTCGTCATATGACCCTAGGCTCGCATCTCAAATCAACATCTCTGCCATCCATCTTTACCGAGCATTTTTCACGTTATTATAAGGAGCTTCTTCCCATAAGTCAAACCCGACTTAGCATCTCGACTTGGGCGTCACCGAATTCTCATTTCAACTCGTATCCATGCTATGATGAGCAATTCTCTCGGTGGTACCAAATGATGAAATAAGAAATGTCGGTCATCTGGAAGGCAGCGAAAATAGAGGAGGCTTTGTCACTAAGCTGTCTTTCTATAGATCCTGTTGAATATGGGCTCATCGGAGCTCTTTGCTGTCTCTGGTTGCCATCAACAAATTGCTTTTTTTTGCCCCCTGGTCCGGTAACCATCACTTTGCTCGATATGTGGTCACTGACTAGCCTATCACGTTTTGTGGAATTTTATAATCAGAAGTCGTGGTCATGTCAAGATTTTTATGGTACTTCTTTCGTTGATCTCTCATTTCATGACTTCATCAAAGAGTTTAGCAAGCCAGCCGGACCACTAACTCCTCAAGAACATGTTGCATTCCTGCTTTGTTGGATTTGTCGATATATCTTTTATACCACTTTCATATCATGTGGGCTTATGGACATCGCATATGCCCTCACTCAGGGTGTTGATGTAGGGTTAGGTCGAATGGCCTTGTCTGCATTGTATAAAGGCCTTTCCGATGCACAATCTTCATTGTTTAGTGCACATCCTGACCCTTTCATTGGCCCGCTGTGGATATTGCATGGTTGGGTTCGATCATACGTCCCTCAATTGTTCACGTCTTATGGTTCTACACCTGTCGACTGGTATGATGCACATAAACAGCCTATAGAGACTGCTTTTGGACCCTGGAAATTTTGTAGCATTTTCCTCCAGCCAGTCAGAGGACTTCCAGTCTTGGAGTACTTCCTGGGTGTTCTGCTTACCCTGAAGGACTTCATTTTTCATAGGTTCGGCGTAAACTTCGTGTGTGACCCATCGACTGCTCAGTATGACACCTCAATTTTTTGGGGAAGCGTCCTCATCCCCACCGATATTCCACTGGAATTTACTTTTGGAGGAAGGTTTCCTATTGGTTTCGAGGCATACAACCCTCATTACTGTGCCCGTCAATTTGGGTTGGTCCAAGGTATTCCCATGCCAATCATCTACTCAGTGAATTTCCCTCCTTCTTTGTCTCTAAGGAATGATGCTCCATCGTGTTATAATGAGGCTGCTAAATATATCCTGGGACGGTTCAAGCTTATCGACAATTTCCGCACCTCTTATGGTTCAATGTTATTTAATCAATGGTGGGATGACTATAAGGTCTTGATTTTTCCTGAAGACCTGGATCCAGCCTTGTTGAGGATAACTCTGCTCCCAATGGGATTATTACATCCTTTCAGAAGGTTTCCTATATCCGATATGCCCTTATCTCCAAGCACGTCATCATTATCGTTCTCCAATATGGACAAATTTTTAAGCAAATCAATGGACGAAATGAGCTCTACCATGGATCATCCCTCCCTTAAAACTCCTCAGGTTAACGGCATTCGAGTCATTGGAGGTAAACGTCCTTCGGTAGGTAGCTTTTTTCCTTCTGTTAATCATGATGAAATTCGTATGAAAGGAGCTCAACTTTATAAGCTCTTAAAAGAAGGGTACGATGTTATTTGTGACGTTCCAGAGTTCGAAAGCAAAGTCAGGTCCTTGTTTGACTATCTGACCAGTTTACCTTACCCTTTGCCTTGTCGAGCTCTAGATTTTGCTCTTCATGAATTTTCTGATTCATTCGATGTAACTGTGAAGGTTTTTAAGGCAGAGCTTGAATATGTCAATGCCATCGAGGACAAAGAGAGGGTCCTGAGCCTCAAAGAAAAAGAGCTTGGTGAGGCCCGTAAGGTCTTTAAGGCATTTCACGCCAACGAAAGCATTTCTCTGTCGACGCTCTTTGATGAAAGCAAGGTCATATTAGACCTTGAAGCAATTGCGAAGCAACTAAGCACTGAGGTGGGGGACAGCCAGGCTGAAAAGGACAAAATTCTGGAATCAAACTGTAATCGAAAAATCCAACTTCACAGCTTCATCCTAGGCCTTGAACAACATTTTATTTAATTTATATCTAGCACTATCTTTTCTTTCTTTTTCCATGTCATTAATGCCGAGGATGGTACTGCTGTAAATATTTTTGTTACTCGGCTTTTCCTTTCCCTTGAGTATTATCCGAATAATCATAGTCTGCGTCTGCTTTGATGACCTGTGCGGTGTTACTGACCAAACTATCCTTTCTTTATGCTCTCGAAAAGACATCTGTGTACAACCTCCTGCATTTGCATTTAATGAATCAGTACGAAACGTAATCAATTTGTACCGGTACAATTCAATTTTGCCGTCGCATGGGTGTACGCCTGAGTAGTAATTGAATCTCATCAATACACGTGTAGGTCATCGAACGGCTGGGAGTGACCATCGGTACGTTTTTCCTCGAATCTTGTTTCGTGACCTTCAAGGAATAAATGGCCATTACTTGCAACATTCCATTCCTTGTATCTTGGACTGGTCAAATAGATACGAATGTGCCGTCTGAGATATTCGTGACGTCGGCTGATCTTCTCATACCGATTTGTGAAGAGTTGGGACTCCATTCACAGGCTATAAATAGTAGGTCTATTGCGATCAAGACTTCACCACTCAACTTTGAATTCTAAATCCCATCTTTCATAGAAGTTTCCTTCTTTTACCCTACCCAACAACAATGGAATCTAGTGCCTCGTCCCCGGCCCTGGGCACTCGCTAGTTCAAGGCCTTGTGGAAGGAGATTATCTCCTACCTGAGCCTGACCTATGCCGTCCTGGTCATTAAGCCCCAGGCGGTGGCTAAGGTCGAGGAGGGAAGCCTGAGGACCTGCCTTTTGATCACCCTTTCCTTGCTGACTACAAGGAATTCGTGACCGTCTTCGAGCAGGGGTGTCCTAGTTCCGAGCCAATGGGAGGGCCATCACTGCATACTTCATTGCGGAACGCATGTTCGAGAGCCTCAAGGAGGAGATCAAGCATGCTGATGTAGTGTACAACACACTCTCTAATGTGCAGGGCCAACTCCACTCCTCCCAAGAGCATCTCGACAAGCATCGGGAGTCGATTGCTGAGCGAATCCAGGGGGCGGAGAAAAGATTGAGGTGAGGAGTTCCTTGCCCCGAACAGGATGAAATTGAGATTGGACTCTCGATGGACTCCCGTTGTGAAGTTTTTGTCAACTCCGCTTCCACATCCTTGGGCACCATAGCTGAGAAGTCGGATGAACTGGTGCAGTCCCACCTTGAGCTCATCCAACGGCTCAAGAAGTGGCTATTGAACCTGGAAGAGACGCTCCCCGACCTCGAAGAAGCCAAGGAACAGGCTGAGATGAAGAACCAGCACCTAGAAGACCGGATGCAGCACTTCGTAGCCCGCTTTAAGGAACACATTGGTCTCGGCCTGGGGGAGTGAAAGCGGCTGGTGGGTCCGGGCTCGGAAGAAAGGAAGGAACGAAGGAAAGACGAAGAAGAAGAAGAAAGAAAGAAAGAAAGAAAGAGAGAGGAAGGAAGAGAAAAAAGAAAACCAAAAACATTTTTTTTTAAGTAATCTGTCTTTTGTTTGTGAATGAAATTGGACTTATTCGGAATTTTCAGTCTCTTCTTCATCTATTTCCCGCATCTCCCACATAGTAGGATAGTACCTCTTCAAATATTTGCCATTGATATCACGGAGAAACTCCTTTCCCTCGATATCCATTAATCGATAAGCATTCCCGACGAATGCCTCGGTTATCACAAATGGTCCTTCCCACGTTGGTGACCATTTACTAAACTTTTCACTGTTCAAACTCGTTGGCAAAATGGTCTTCCAAACCAGGTCGCCAATTTCAAACTGTTTATACTTTACATGTTTATTAAATGCTTTGGCAACTCTATCTTTCTGGAGGATCAACTTTTCTAAGGCAATCGCTCTGTTTTCTCCCAATTCATCAACGTTAGCGTACATTACCTCGTAATATTCCTCCTTAGCCAAGTTATTTTGGAGTCTGACTCGTAGGGATTGAACCGTAACTTCAACAGGGAGAACTGCCTCTTGTCCATAAGTGAGCATTTATGGGCTAGTTCCTGTAGCAGTCTTTTTAGATGTTCTATAAGCCCATAATTTAGTCGACAACAACACATCCCACTCTCTAGGATTATCTTCCAAGTGTCGTTTAATCAGTGCGATGATGGCTTTATTAGAGGCTTCAGCCTGATCATTGGCTTGGGCATAATAAGGAGTTGAATGAATCATCTTGATGCCTCTAGCCTTGGCAAAACTAATCACCTCTTGTCCAGTAAATACCGTGCCTTGGTCCGTAGTTATAGATTTTGAGATGCCAAATTGATGGATAATACGCTCCTTGATGAACTCTTTTACTGTGTTTTGTGTTATATTCTTGTACGAGGCCGCTTCAACCCGCTTGGTAAAATAGTCGATGGCAACCAAAATGAAGCTACGTTTCCTCGACGAAAGGGGGTAAATTTTTCCTATTATATCCATCGTCCAGCCTCTAAATGGCCAAGGTTTGATGATAGGTTTCATTATGGCCGCAGGAACTTGCTGAATGGGACCGTGCCTTTGACAAGCTTCGCATCCCTTAGCATAACTTATGCAGTCTTGAGTGATAGTTGGCCAGAAGTAACCATGTCGATGGAGCAACCACTTTATTTTTATGCCTGATTGATGAGCTCCACATATGTCTTCATGAACTTCGGCCATTACTATCACAGACTCTTGCTGTCCCAAACATTTGAGCAATAACCCGTCCACAGTCTTGCGATATAACTCCTCTCTAATCATCAGATAATTAAATGCTTTTCTTTTGAAAAATTTTTCACTAGAAATTGGGTTGTTGAGATACTCTATAAATGGAGTTATCTAATCTTGAGTTACTACTTCGTCGACAGTCGCGTTGTCGATAAGGGTTTCCGTCGATTGTGTAAACATGATTCTGTTGTTCATCGATGGTAGAACCTTGGTCTGAGTAATAATACGGTCAACAAGCTCTTTTGATATTTTGTAACCGAAAGCCATTTGTGCTAAGTCATTGGCCTTCGTGTTATCCTCTCTTTTAATATGGACCAGCTCAAAGTCGTCAAAGCGATCTAGGAGCTCTTTGGCCAGTGAATAATAGGATATAATATTCTCATTAAGACACTAGTATTCCTCAGACAATTGCCTTATCACCAATTGAGAATCCCCTATGACTTTGACGAAACGTATTTTCATGTTGGCCATGATGTTTAGGCCAACAATTAAAGCCTCATATTCGGCCTGATTATTGGAGCACTCGAAATTCATCTTGAACATAAGTTTTGTTTTCTGCCCATGAGGGGATATTATCATGATCCCAGCCCTAACAAACCCAGGGGTACCAGATCCATCGAAGTAAAGCTGCCATGGGACCACATGAATGTATCCCTCACTATTTTCATCTCGTGCGCTAGGATATTTGTAATGAAATCTGCTATGGCTTATCCTTTTATTGCTTTAAGCAGAACATAGACCAAATTTATTTCAGTCAAAGCAAACGCCCACTTGTCAATTCGACCTCTAACAATAGGCCGTGTCAACATGTACTTAATCACATATGTTTTACATATCACATGTACCGTAGTCAGCAGCATATAATGACGTAATTTTGTACATGCATAATATAATGACAAGCATAGCTTCTCAATTGCAGTGTATCTTGTTTCAAGATCATTCAACATCCGACTTAAATAATATACTGCTTGCTCTTTGCCTTCATTATTCTCCTGCGCCAGCATACATCCGATGGTAGTATCCGTAACGGCCAGGTACAATTTCAAGGGTTGACCCATTCTCGGCGGCATCAATACTGGTGGATTAACCAAGTACCGCTTAACCTGGTCAAAAGCATGTTGGTGTTTCTCTTTCCATACAAACTCTTCTTGATTCTTCAACTTCAATAATGGGGAAAACACCTCAATCTTTCCTGACAGGTTAGTGATGAATCGACGCAAGAAATTTATCTTCCCTAAAATCATCTGAAGTTGCTTTTTGGTTGTGGGGGACGGCAATTCTAAAGTGGCCTTAGCTTTATTATTATCAATTTCAATTCCCCTTTGATTAACCAGGAAACCTAAGAAGTTACCAGCCCTTACTCCAAAAGCACATTTCAACGAATTCATTTTCAAGTCAAATTTCTGCATCCTAGTAAAAGCTTGTTCCAAATGATTTAAATGACATACCTGGTCCGATTTAACAATAATATCATCGATGTAGACTTCCATAAAGTCCCCAATCATGTCATGAAAGATGAAGTTCATGGCTCTTTGGTAAGTTGTCCCTGCATTCTTTAATCCAAATGGCATGACTAGCCATTCAAAAGTGCCAATAGCCCCAGGGCACCTGAATGCATTTTTATGGACATCCTCTTTAGCTATGAATATTTGATTGTAGCCTGAATGACCATCCAATAATGACATGATTTCGTTCCTAGAAGCCGAATCAAATAACATATCCGCGATTGGCATTTGGTACTCATCCTTAGGTGTGGCTGCATTTAAATCTCGGAAGTTCTGTGGATTACTCTGCGAGCTCAGCCCGATAGGCCGAGTACCTCTCAATGAGGTCTTTTGACAACGTAAAGTTCTCCACACACAACCTTATTTAATTGCCGCGCCAGTTGACTCTTCGGGACCCACTCAACGATCCCTTTATCGAAACGGCAGAATGTAATACTATTGGGGTCAACGAGAGTTGGCTTACTGATGGATATATTGTCTTCTGGTACCAATTGATGAATTGGAGATGCATGTGCACAGGTTGTTTGCGACTTGGTGTTTGCTTTAACGTATTCTACCTTATCCCTATTCCAAAACACTATCATCTGATGGAGAGTCGACGGTACGCACTGATTACTATGGATCCAATCTCGGCCCAATAGTAAATTGTAAGACCCATCTGCATCAACCACACAAAAGGACGTCCTGAAAGTTTTGGTGCCAACGGTTAAGTCAGCGATGAAAATTCCTTTAACCTCTGAGACTTCTCCAGTAAAGTCAAATAATTGGATGTTCGATTGGATAATCTCCTCGTCGCGCCTTCCCAGTTTCTTGTAGAAACGATATGGGATGAGATTCAGTGTGGATCCCCCATCCACTAACACTCGAGACACAGGTCGGCCATTAACCTTTGCGTTGATATTCAGAGCCCTTAAGTGGTTTGAACCCTTGGGTGGAGGTTTCTCAAATTCAACCACTTCCTCTATATCAAAGTGAAATTTTGCTCTTTCTTTCTCATCCATTGTGACTTCTGCAAGATGATCTGGCTCCACCATCTTAACCCGAAGGTTCGATGGAAGGCATACTCGAACCATGCAAGAACTCAGTGACGAGACTGACCTCGACAACCGTTGCGGTTCACTCTGGGCAAGCTCAACGTCTTGCTTTGGTGAAAATTGCTGAGGTCGACCAGATATCGACGCTTGGTTTTCTAGTTTTCTTTTCCAGACTAAATTTCCACGCTTGGGGAACTTTGGCTTGACCCCTTGTACTGCAATCAGGGTCGGCTTAACCTGCTTGATGTGAACTTGACTCACTTGTTATCGGAGTTGATACTCTTTTCTTTTCCACTGCATTCTCCTTTTTTGAGTTCGTATCAAATTTGAGTCGCGATTCTGAGTTCTGCGGGTCTCATACCATTGACCCACAAGTGGGTATCTCGGTACTTTCAGAGTTTGTCGACGTGATGGATGTGGGTCTGTGTGGAGATCTCCTCAATCAGAGAAATTAGGGCCCCATCCACTTGGCTCAATCTTCCCATAATACGAAGGTGGTGGAGCATAACTAACATAGTAATCAGCTCTACCACTAGGTTCTCTCAAAGTACCAATGGTCGGATCACTTTCTTCGTACCTCTGCTTGAATGATTTAATGGCCTTATTGTAGTCTCGATAGCTCTTATGACGATTGACACCTTTAGAAGGAGTTTGTTCATCATATGAGTCGGTGAGAGCCAAATCACAGAATTTGTCGACAACTTCACTGGGCGGACGTCTTCGACTACTAGAATAATGTTTGTCCCGTTCCAACAATCGTTTACACCTTTCGTAAAAATGATATGGATGATGCCCCCTTGTCTTCGTCTTCAATGACACCATCCCTGTCATTACAGGAAAAGGATCGACCTCAACTTCCATCGGGGATTTACCTTTGTCCTCCGCAAATTTTATCTTCCCTTGCTTGATCGCTTCCTGGACATTTCTTTTAAATACCAGGCAGTCTTTGGTGGCATGGCTCCATGAATGATGCCACTTACAATACTTTTTTGCCGCCAATTCCTCTTTAGTGGGTAAAACTTGACCCTCCGTGAGTCTGATCTGTCTATCAGCTAACAACAAGTCAAATATTTCTTCTATCTTATTAATATCGAAAGAATAAAAAATGGGTTCCTTAGCCTTGGTCATGAGGTTAGATTTTTCTTTAACTCTTGTCGGCTTTAAAGCTTGGCAGATATATGGCTTATCAATCACCATTTTAGCGAGAGCCACATCTACTATATCTGCTGATTCAGTTTCATCCTCGCTCTCGACAGCATCAGCCCAACGAACTTCACCTTATCGACCATACATTTTGTCTTTTTCCTGAAGGAGGCTTTCATGCTTAGTAGCTATGGTTGACAACTGAAGCAAATCTGATTAAGGTTGTCCAACCATCCTGTCTCGGATTTCAAACTTTAGTCCATTAAAAGCGGGGTCGGCAAAAGTCTTCTCAAGTAAAGGGACTAGACATTATTCCTTGCCCTTTTAAATTTGGAAATGAACTGATCAACAGATTCATTGGCAAACTGTTTCATAGTCGAGAGATTAGCTACCGACAAATCCGGCGCAGCTCTTTGAAATTGATAATGAAATAATCTTTCCATATGTTCCCATGATGTAACCGAATTTGCAGGTAAAGCAGTATACCAGGTAAACGCGATTTTTGACAAGGATAGGGAAATAACCTCAATTTCCAATAATCAGCATGAGCCGCATCGCCACATTGCGCCAGAAAACGATTAACATGTTCAAAAGTGGACTGATGTTCCTCTCCGGTGAA